CCTCTCCCTCTGCAGCGACACACAGACTGGCTCAGCTGGGCACTGAGCTGCCACTGAGGAATCCACCTCATGTCCACTTCAGAAACCAACCTACTGGACAGGAAGAAAGGTGGCACAAAAGTTAAGAGAAAAGCATTTTGCAGAAGTGGTGCTCACCACCCAACCAGAGTGTAACAGACACTTTCTAAGTGTCACTTTCTATTCCTCTTTTTACAACGCCTGGATTACCAGAGGTAAGGTTTAATACAGGTATAGCAGACAAAAAAAAATGCTTTGCTACTTCCATATCCTTTTTAATAAATAAAATATATCTGTATCTTTAGATTAAAAACATCTGCTGGGTAGAAATAGGGCCTTGAAATCAAACAGGTCCCTCTTTCTGCATACAGAGCAACAACATGCTGCTGTGCTGCAAGAAATCAAATCAAATGGGTATTTTGCACCCATTCAGACAACCTCTTGGAGGGAGAGAGAGAACATCTGCGGACTGACTTTATTATTCCCAATTTTAAAGCTTGATTATTAGCAGATCTTAAAATAGCTACTGGATGTTAAGCTGTAAATAAAATGTGCAGTCTAACAAAAGATGCAACTCTGACATTTGCAGTCATTCTGTAATCATGGCTTATTATCCCCAACTTGTTTTCAGCGGTTTCTATTCATTGGAAATCATTCTGTATAGGAACAAGCATCTTGCTAGAGGTTGTATAACAAGTTATTGCTATGAAATTATTAATTGTATTTCAGGCTGAATGAGAGCACAGGTGATACATGCATGCAACTCAGGACCACATACATTTTATAGAGAATCTACATTTAATATACATCTAAGGCAAAGTAGATGCTGTTATTTCTATGCAAAAAATATAACATTGGAAAATAACTCAGATTATGGCAGTAACACCCAGGACAGGAAACCGACAATGCTTTAATATGACCCACTTGAACACAACAACAGTTCTTACCTCAAGGAGATTACAGCCTTTTAATCTCTCCCAGTATTCAGCTTCCTTCTCAAATGCATGCAGGCATCTTCTCGAAAATTCAGGATTTAAAACATGTTTTTGTTAATCCACAAAGAGGAAAGATTAAATGTTCCCTCATGAAAGAGGTATAAATACATCTGGGTTTATGCACAGAGACAGGCAAGGAAAGTAAACCTATGCATAGAAATTGCCTAAAAAGCATGACCTGAACTTCCAGAAAATTAATTACCCTAAACTTCTTCCATATATATCTGTATCTATTTATATACATAAACACACATACTTGGGTATAAGGCAAAGGAAAGAACAGAGTTCTGGTCAGAAGTAATTAAAAATTTGCTAGACAGTTCACTCAATCCTGATACTTACACTTAAAAGTCTACTGAGAACAGCAGGCACAGAAAATACGTAAGACTCAGGGCAGAGGCATAAGAGACAGACTTCTACATTTAACACTGGATTAGATTAAGGGCTTCTACTGCCAGAAACCTGTTGTAATTATCTTTTAATATTACCCACCAGCTTGCAGGTATGAAAGGGCATTTAAAATGGAGAATTCTTATTTGAGTTCCCAGACATAATCTGCAAATGCAGGTTGTTTCTTTTGTTCACTGCAGCTTGACAGGGCTTTTTTATTTTTGCCAATCTTAAATATTAAAGATCTATTAATCCAGACTTTCTGAAAGGTGCCAACTAGCCACTAACTTCTGGCACACAGTGAGGGTGTCTGCACCCAAGAACTCTCCTTTCCTATGGTCTGATAGGTAAAAATCTTCCTGTTAGTAGAATTAAGACTAGAGGTAATTAAATCTTTCCTATAAATGCTTCTGCAGGTTATAGTAGCTGATACACCTTGAGGCTAACATTAAAGCTAAGTGTTTTAGATCAAGAGCAAAGTCCTAGTTCTGTACATCACAGGGTGAGAAAGACGGATGTCCACCAAGAACTGACTGAGGCATCTCTGAAGCCAGGCAAGACATCCCAGATGAGATCTTTTTTTTAATTTATTTTTTTTACCTCATTCATTCTCCTGCTTCCCATTTATCCTCCCTCTTTTCATAAACGCAGATGTACACCCATACATACACACTTCTACAACAGGAACTTCATGAAACCACCAAGTGAACTGAAGCATTTGAAAACTACTTCAATCTACAAGCTCCAAGAAGACTTCTTCATTTTACTTGGTTATATTAACCACCACACATTTATCTATAAAGCATTCTTCTTTATTTAAGTTAAACAATTTTTCAAGGATGGTTTCCATCTATAAAATGAACAAAGTACAAGCTCTGTACAGCAGACTTTTCAAACCAACTGAAAAAACAGTTTCCAAACTATGTTTTGAAAATCTGCAAAAACAAACAATATCACCATTCTTGCTCTGAAGACGGTAAGAAAAGTTCTCAGGAGACTCCACTGCAATTTGCTTCAAGGGCTCTTAATTTATCTTTCAAATGGGTGAACATCTTCAACATTAAAAACCCCTAAAACCACAGTAAGTAACTTTGGCACACTGTCATGTAAACATAACAAAAGGTTACCACTTCTTGTCAGTTCTCTCAAAGAAAAGCAACATACAGCTCCTATATCAAAACCCCTGTGCACAGCATTCATGGAGAACTAGTGAAAAAATTCCTACTTTATATGATAGCAGTTGACATTAAAGACTTAAAAGGTGGAAAATGGATTTTTCTACTAGCAATTCTAATTCAGAGATAAGAGGCAGGTGAATATTCAGAGTTGCAAGTGCTGATTTCAGTTTGTACTACCCTTACTGTGATCAAAGTTGAAAATGGAAGTAGCTCTGTGGCAGAAGCTGAGTGGTTGGGTTTTTTCTTTTAAATTCTGGTTTTCGAAACATTAAACAATTGGCTTGCTGCTGAGCCCATATTTCAGCATTTGTTTGTCCAGAATATGAAGAAATCTACTGCTATGTTTATGAATCATGTTCTTCAAGTTCTCAGCTAGGTTAAAATGCTACAGATAAGGAGAGACTAAAAGCTGAAAAATAGTTTATCCACTGTATGGCCTCTAAGCAGGCAAGTTTTGTAGAAAGTGGATTGTAAAGAAGCAGGGGGAAAAAAGTATTATTAATACTAAAAAAGTCAGATGATGGATGGGAGAAATTGGATTTAACGCCTCTAGCCAAAAGGTAATGCAGGTACTTGCAAGCCATAACTTCAGGCATACAAGGTATTTACAGGCTCACTGATGGGCACAGTTAAAGCCATTTTGCCCAGGAGTACCACCTCTATGCCTTACGTAGAGATGCAGCCAGAGGAAACTGAAGAAAAAAAATAATTTAAAAAAAGAAGAAATAATAATCAGGAACTACTCCCAGGATCAAATAAAGAGGGGAACTGTACCAGCATATTACAGTATAACAGATGTTTTTCATCTCCTTATGATGAATCCTTCCATTTTTCCGAGATCCATCACCTTACCAAAACCACCTCCTGGCACTGCAGGTCTGCAGTGATTTTTGTCAGTGCTGTCTCACTTACTAACACTTATTTACATCTCCTTTTCATTCTAAAAGATCATTTAAGTATTTTCTTTTAATAACAATGTATATAGTCTATGCAAACATAAGAAAGGTCAGGTCAAAATTGGAGTTGACAGTATTATTTAAATATAAAAAAATGGCATCAGCTGGACCGAAGCTGCAAAATGCACAGGTTCTACGGTTAAAAACACTTAAAATCTGCTGGTATTCAGGCTGATTCCCAGAGCCAAGCCTGAATCCATTCAGAAATTCCATTTAAAGAAAGAAAATGGAAGAAAATTCCCCAGTAGTAGGTCTATAAATTAAGCAAGTGCAATTCAGAGATATTATATAGCTGCTCATCCTTGCAAATTAAAATTCAGATCTTGTGCTGTTGACAGTGACGTTACTATGTCTTCTCATTTCTACAACTCAGTAAGGGGAGTTTGAGACAAAGAAACTCTTCTCATTAGGGCTAAGCATAAAACTCTGCCGAACCCACAGGGCTGCATGGAAGATCTGCACTGTTTATACGATTTTGTAACAAAGGAGGAAGTATTTTTAAAGACAAAGTACTACAGAAATGATGAACACAAATTTCAGGTACAAGTTTAACATTATCCAGAGCACATGTAATGGATTTCCAAGCTGGAATAAACAATTCGAGCAATCATCTGTGCAGATGCATTGACTTATTCTGCTATTTTCTCTCTCCTCCTGAGTTTCACGATCTCCAGTGAGGGTGAAGTGTAAAAAGTAGATCCAGTTTGCAAAGCAAAAGCATCCAGTGTTAGCACGGACATCATACCCAGCAGCACAAAATCCGCACCTTCATAAAGTTCCACTCTCCTAGCATTCCAATCCAATTTCTGGTTACACATATATGTCAATCACTTTGTTGATAATTATAGGATGATGAAAACTGATACAAACTGTTGGGAGCTGACAACATATATACTTTTATATATTTATATTTAGAGTCCATCACAGAAAAGTTCATATTCAAATTACCAAGTACACACAGGAGAGGAAAAAACAACCAAAAAAAAAACAACAAAAAAACCCCCTTCAAAATGACACTTCTGTTTCTGGAAACAACAAACCAGGATTTCTATGCAAATGGAGTTCTCAGATGACCTTCTCCTAGTCATTTTTCCCACCCTCCCTCCCACACCCTATTCCCCACAGGTGTTTCTTCAGATCCTTTTTTTTTTTTTAAAATCATACATCAGTTGTTCCTAGAGTTAATTATCTGCTGTGCAAGTACGTAACTGAAGACAGAAATGAACCGTTGAAGTCTTCACACCAAGAAGGAATTGTGCTGCAGTCACATTCAGTGACATCTTTGCAGTGTTCCAAGTCCCCTGGATCCCTGGTGCCTGCTTCAGCACTTTCCTACTTTCAGATAAAGGTGGAATACTGAGGTATATAAGTTCCGTGGAAAGTTTTAAGAAATACATCAGTAATTCAATCAAAACTTTGCCCAATGTCTATGAACTGAAACAGCATTTTGCCTGTAAGTCCTTCTACTGTTGCAGATTAAGTGTGAATTTCCACTGTTGTGACAAAGAAGGACTGCAGATCTCAACGGTGAGGCCACCATTTTTGGCATTCCGGCTGTCTAGACATAGGTTGCTTCCAACATGCCTCAGTTTAGAATTGCTTTCGATTTGTTCCCATTTCTGGAAGAGAAAAGGCAGTTATTGAGCTGGAAAAACAGGAAAAGGATGAGTCCTACATCCTGTCCTTTGAAATCTTCATAAGCTTCCCTGTCTCATGTTTGGGAAAACTGTGAAAAGTGAAATAACGTGGATGCAGTTTAGATGATCCTTGAATAAGAGTAAGTAAGTCATGGCAAGCCCTGCCAGAACAACTGCTCCTTGAGCTAACACACTGCAACAGACATTGAATACACCAAATAATTCTCCTCTACTTCAGCACTCCTCATGATACGCTGTCACATCATGTTACCTGCATGAAACCTTTGGGTTGAAGAACAAAATCAAAATCACAAACCCCATCCACATTAACACTACAATTCTAAGCACAGAGAAGGAAGAAGCACAATCACTAAAGACAACTTCACAGAAGTCCAGAAATCCGTCAGACACCTGTCTGCTGACAACCACTCAGCCTGTGCTGCCAGCAGCTCTTTGCCCAGGGTGAAGGCAAGGATAGAGAGCAAAGAACAAACACTGAACCTTAAAAAAAAATTACAAAAAAACATGTGGTTTTTGTTGTTTTTCTAACGTATTGCATCTTTAAACTTTATGAAGAAAATCTTGCTTCCTTAGTTTCCCGTTCTGAAAAGTGGCAAGAATATTCTTCCTTCATTGAGGAATAGCATTTCAGTTATCGGGCTGCAAAAACTTGAGATACAGAAGCAAGGAAGCTGGCAGACGATCAGAACTGATGAGTCAGCAGAACGGGATGAATTGTTACATGACTTGATCAAAAAGATGGTATGACTCTGCAAATGTGATTTCCCTCAGGCATGGGAAATAGATAAAGTTTCACTGCTGCATTAATAAAAATGAATTCAAGGACTCCAGTGCTGTTATAAACAGCTCACAACAGAAAAGCAGAAAAGAAAGCCAAACCACACTCTTCTGAGACACAGACTACATAATCTCCATACTTTACTGAATAAGACCTTTGAAAAATACACTGTGGAATAGACAGTCTATTTCAGAAAGCAGACATAGCAGTTGAAGACTGTTACACATCAATGCTGTTGGGTGAACCCTTTACGAAAGATCACCGCTGTTGGGATAAAACCTCGGTATGTTCATAAAAGATTGTCACTGGCCTATGTGGCTCTTTTTTCCTGCTGCTCTAACCAGATGTCAGGCATTCTAACTTTACACACACAAACGACAGAAAGAAGAGTATAACAGAAGATACGATTCCAGCATGTGTTCTTGCATTCTCATTCACAGCCCTTATTTCTCCTACTTATTCATGACATACTAACCTGTCTGCTGTCATTTTCTCTACAGCCCTGAAGTTTTATTAGTGAACCAGGTGCTCTGTCCACAACAGTAAGGCACAAATCCATATGTTTCACTGACTTGTCTTTTGTTAAGGCCCACTCCTAGAAAAAGGAAGAAAAAAAAAAGTACAAAATTGCATATACTAACATACACACAAGGTGCACTTGCTATCTCTGCATAGGTTAAAATCTTGTAAATAGCTACATATGAGCATTAGAACAATTTATTGCTTCCCATAAAGCAGGAGAGGAATAAAGGGCCTTTCCAAACCCAGCTATTACAATTGCTTCAGGGCTGAGCTGTCTTTTTGCTCCCTCTGCTGGCTTTATGAGAGCACAGTGGGTCGTCACACGGGTCCTCGGGTTTAAAATATTTGTCTAACTATATTTTTATCTGTGTGCGTGTGTGTTATACATCCCCCAAGTCTTCTAAGTAGGAGAGATTCATATATATCTAAAAAAGAGTATGTAATTATCATAGAATGATTCGGGTTGGAGGGAACTTTAAAGATCATCTTCTTCCAACTCCCCTGCCATGGGCAAGGGACACCTCCCACTAGATCAGGTTGCTCAAAGTCCCATCCAGTCTGGCCTTGCACACTCCCAGGGAGGGGGCAGCCACAACTCCCGGCCCAGCCACAACTCCCATGGGCAACCTGTCTCACCACCCTCACAGAAGAGAATTTCTTCCTAATTGCTAATTTAAATCTACCCTCTTTCAGTTTGAAAACATTACCCCTTATCCTATCTCTACACTCCCTTGCAAGCGGTACCTCCCCAGCTTTCCGGCAGGCCCCCTACAGGTACTGGAAGGCTGCCACAAGGTCTTCTCCAGGCTGAACAGCCCCAACTCTCTCAGCCTGTCCTCGTAGGGCAGATGCTCCAATCCCCTGATCTTTGTGGCCTCTTCTGGACCCATAAGCCCTGAAGGATGCTTCAAATCAATTGATTACCTTTCAAATAAAATCTAGGATTTGGGCATAGCCTGGATGGGAAGAAGCCTGGGTGGGACGATGCCACGCTTACCCTAATTGCTTTGCTGCCTGACTCTGGTGGCTGTGGGAAAGCCAACAGGAAAATTACAGAAAAAGCAAGCAGAGTAGTAGATGGTCTTCAGGAGGATCAGAAAACTGATTAGGGCCTAAATCCTCCCTCAGCCTAATGAACCATGCACAGGGGAGACCGCATGCACCTTCCTATCCCTCTCCTGCTTCCTACAGCTCATGTCAGTTTGCGCACAGCCAAACCACACCAGGTCTGCTGATGCTGCAGAGCTGACCTCCCTCTCTTACAGAGGCAGCTCTTTGATCAGGATGTCTGTACTCTGAGAGACTCTGAGTGCTTTGCATTGTCTGGTAAAACCCCTAATTTTTTGGACAAAAGCAGTCAGAATGATTCTGAAAATAATTTAGTGACAAAGCAGCACACAAAAGAGCGAGCATGTATATGCACATACTCCCTGAATAATAACTAAGTCACAACTGCATAAATAGATTCTTTGAAATAATTAATGCTCTCATTTACAGATTTGACACATTCGCAATTAGTTTAAGAGTAGGATTAGAAACGATTTGTTGATGTGCTCCTTTTACTGTGAGTGAACAGGGTATGACATTTAGGCACCTCTATTTTGTAGAAGGGCCAAACAGGGATTTGAGACAGATTTTTTTATATCCCACTACTGCAAATTGGAAATGACTAATTGGGCATAAGAGTAAAGCTTCTTCCTGTGAAGAAAGTTGATGGCCTCTAGTGTAAAGGCCAATATTAGAAGAGACAAAGGAAGAGGATAATCTGATGCACACTGAATGAATCTTTGGACTCAAGATTCTAATCCTGAAAATGCAAAATTATCTTTGAGGGAGAAGTTAGCCAATCTGTCACAACAACTGATCTGCTGATTTAGGTTCATCTTCCTATCACCAGTACACAATAACTGCTTGAGTTAAAAAGTTTCACTTTAATTTTTTTTTCCCCACACAGTATGTGACCTTTAAAAAAAGAGGAAAAAAACAAACCAAAATAAAACACACAGACCTGGTTTCCTCCGGCATTATGACATTCATAAACTCCAACAACACCATCTGCAAAATGGCCCAAAGTGTCAAGGCAATTGGTACCCTGCTGCAAAGCCCCGAAAGCTATATCTTGATGATCAGGTACCCTAAAATAAAACCAGAAATGTGTTTAACTCAGGGTTTGTTTGGAGGTTTTTTGTTTGTTTTTTTTTTAACTCCTTGTCTTTATTTTGAGTATTTTTAAGATGACAGGTTAAAGATGAGTGACAACTACTACCTGAAAATCTCAAACACCTTCTGAGGAGGAAAGGCAATTATCTGATCATCAACTGATCCAATATGAGTAAACTTGCAAGCTTAGGACAGCTTAGGACAAGAAGACTTCTACCAGAGAATGAGGATGAACACAAACTCAGCACAAAAACTAAATTAAAGATGATTTATCATCATTTAAAGTCACTCAAGCTTAATGCTATCAGTTCAGGTCATCAAGCCCTCTTGTTTTTTCATCCAAGCTAGCTTGTGGCAGACATACATTTTACATTTTTCCCAGAGTGTTTTTACTGATGTGTTAGACAAGGGTTTAGGAAATAATAAATAAACAATCAAATGCTTCTTCTGACATCTGTTCTCTAATTGTTGCATATAAAGTGCATATAGTATGGAAATACCTAGGCAAACCCCTTCAGAGTACAGTTGTGGGATAGAGTCCATGAGTTGATGTCAAACAGTAAAGAAAGGGCATGTTACCTCCTTTTAGAACTTCAGACTCTAAGGTGACTACAAAAATTGAACCAGAAGCGGAATGAGCATGAGGAGATGACACAGTGTAAGACAACAGTACACTTAAATAATGCTTAGGGTAGCATATTTTCCAGGAGAGCTTGAAAGATGTATTTTTTTCTGACAAATTAAACAAAACTAAATCTCCTCTGACAGTCTTAAGAGAAAATAAAGAATAACTTACTTCCTCAGCATCATCCTGGTTTATGAGACTCTTTAGTATGTACAGTTCTGTACCCATTTCGCTAGGGCTGTAATGGCTGGCAATTTTGCATTTCAAGCCTGTATGCCACTAGCAGTTACCTGACTACACTGCCATAAAGTGCCCGCAAGAAAAAAAAAAGTATTCTTACAAGCCACACACAGTATCTCGCCATTGCACTACCAGTATTAGGTTGACAGCAGACAACCTAGTTTATAGACTCGGATCTGACAGACATATTTATTAACGGGTTACTGAACAAACCCCTTTTAATATCCTTTCAAGAAGTGTTTCTCTTTGAAGATTTTTCATTAGTTAGGATGCATTCATGTTACAGAATCTATTAGGAATGTTAGCCCTCATTTCCCTCTTCTCATCCCCCAAAAGTTAACGGTTATCCAGTGACAGAGAACAAGAAACAGAAAGAGCAGAAGACTCAGCTTCTTAGAGTCTTAGGCATCTACCCTTGTTTGCCAAACACACAAGGCCCTCTTGTCTGTCAACTCCCATCCTTTGTACTGGACTCAGATTCAGTTTCCTCAACCAGGCACGTGCTCAGGCAAAAGCAGAAGCTTTAAAGGGATGGAAACAGGATACAGAACAGCAAAAGAGAACTCCAAACAAACCACAGGGAAAAAAAAAGGAACCCCATATTATCTCTGATTCAGCCAAAACTCACCGTAGCTCAGGATAAACATTTTCAAGATACCACTTGAAGGGTTTACAGCTAAGTCTCTTTCTAAGTTCCATTCGGCTTTGAATACTAGAGGGGAAAAAAAGGAACCGTTTTTAAATTTAGGCTGCTATCTTCATATGTGTTAAGGAATGCAGAGAAAACTCAAGAACAGTAGAACTGTAACACATGAGAGCTAGTACTGCTTTCACCTCACAAGGTGCTGTCTCATGAAGAATAAATGAGTAGGGCAAAGAAGCACTTGTGACTTACTTGCCATAAGGTACATTTCTGGCTGAAGGCACTGCTGCGTAATAGAAATTTTTATATTCATCCATCCAGACTTCTGCTGCCCTGCGTGTATTTCTACAAACAATCACATGAAACGCATACGTTATATTTTCTCTAGCTGCAGTTAAGCCACGCCATTTATCGTTGATTTTAATCCTTTCTAGTACTACAGAGTCAGCTGCCTCAAGCCAGACAGAAGATTCCCTATTTAACAGAAAACCATTAAAAAGTAACATAACTGAGATCAATGCATTTAGAATGAAACTTATGTCTTTTCAACACTCGTCAATGCTTCAGACTTTCTTCTAGAACTTAATATAGCCATCTTGGGAATTCTTACTGCAAACTTCATGAAAGTTGATAGGTTGTTGCTCGGTTTTTTCTCTTTATAAGAGTAACTTGACAGAAACCAAATTCAGCAAGTGTTCACCTGGATAAGTGACCTAATTGCAAACAAAAATCTCAGCAACTGGCAGTATTTAATAATGTCTTTTACCATTCTGAAAACAGAAATGATAACACAGGCAAGACATACTTTCAGTTTTCATCTTATTCCAACCAGCAGAGTTAAAGTTCCAAAACTACAAAAGCTGTCATGACATTTCAGACTATGCACCAAGCAAATCCACCATAGCTGAGATAGCAGAGAAGAACCAGTAATTAACAAATACTTTTAATGCTTAAAAATTCAGGAGAGATTACTTACTGGAATAAGCGTGAGAAATACTATTCCAAATTCTTTACTCTTAAGCAAACACATCTCAAATTCCTGTATTTATGTAACTGGTGTCTTTAAATAGCATTTTAGACTATGAGAGGTTAATGTATTTTTCCATCCCCTTGCTTCCATGTAAAACTCATTTACTTCCATTGTTCTTAATTTTATGCTTAGAAAATGAAGCCTTATTGCACTTGCAACTGCCATGCTCTGAAGCTTTTTTTATATTTGGCAGTAAGTTCATCTAAAGCAACTGGAGTAAACTCAGCCAGCCAGTAACTTCTTTAATACGATTTTCCATTCATAAGGCAAAAATTAGGGTAAAGTGAGTTGCTCTTGTGGCTTGCTGAGAAGGAAGGACATGGAAGAGGAAGAAAAAAAATGTCACACGGCAGACCTCTCATTTTTTTGTTTGAGGACTTTTTTTTCCCCTTGCAAAGATTCCTTTAGATTTTTCATAAGCAAAATCTCATTCAACCCAGAATAGAGAGCTATTTCAGTTTATCTTCACTCCCAGCCTCAGGCCTGTGTGAGCATCAGCCACTCGGCACCTGCCCCTGTTGCTTGCACAGCAACCAGCTTGGGTGCCCACAGCCCAGACGCATTTTGGTAGTGGGAGAAAACTATTTGCTTTGCTGGGATTTAACAGCTCCAAAAGCACTTTCAAGGTCAGAACACGTGCCTGAGCTATTCTGAGGGAGAAATAGCTCAGGTGCAGCAGTGTGGGAATATGAAAAGTGGGTAGATGCTGAGAACTCCTTCAATTAGGTAAGGCCCCAAAGCAGGCCAGGTACTGAGCAATGCAGCACAGGGTGCAGACTTGGAGCTAATGAAACCTGGTGCCCAGTGACCAGAGGTAGCTTTGCATGGAGCCTGTAAGGTTTATTAGCTCGCCTGAAGTGGTGTCATTAAGGCAGCACACACTGGTCCAGCAGACCCTGACAGACACAAAGTGTGTCTTGCCCACATCACAGCACCAGGATGTTGTTTCCCCTCTCACAAAACGTGACTCTCAGCCTCTCCCGCAGAATCACCGATTTGTTCTGGCTGCCAAAAGGCAGTGAGTACTGATGAGTCAGCTATAAACGGGACACTTACTCGGACAAACTGCATACCATCAAGGGACAGAGAATGGTATCAGTTAACAAGTGCCGACTGCAAGACCAGCACATATTACACACACCAAGTTTCTTGGCACCATGGTCCTACATACATCTGATAATACCTGTATTACAAGGGTATCCCATTACCTTAGGTTTCTCATTCTCTCCTTGCTAAAACTGACTAAAAGGCATCCCTGTTGTATTGGTCTGACACCCAAGAAAAAGCTGACTGAGGAGGAAGCCTTCAAATGTACAGCAATGTGTCAACCCTGCTTTTAAGTGATATGCAGCTTTTCTAGGTCAATTCAAAAATAATTCCAATGAAACTGAGAATTTTAATGGCTTTTCAGAATTCGAGACAGCTGGACAGTTAAGGACATGGGTAATAGATCATTCGCAGGCAAAGGTAGATTTGGAAGGGATGTAAGTACCCAAGACACTAGCGTGCAAACTTCAGCTGTTCACACCTTTCAAGTACACATGGGATGTCTTTTCAAAGTAATTTTCAACACAAATTACTGGAAAACACAATAAGACTTTAAAAAAAATCTGCCATAGTAATTGTCAGGACATTTTAGTGATCAAATCACAATGATGATTTGATTTTTCATCAAAATCCAAAAGCTTTAATCCCAGTACAAATGTAGAATCATCAATCCCTGCTAATATGATGCATTTCTGATGTCTGTCATATCCTTGCATGCGTCCACATTTACTTATCAGTTATGTTTAAGTACCTATTTATATCACAAAAAAGGCAGCACCTTGGCAACTCAAATGAAGAAAAGCAAGCTCAAAGAAAGAAAAGGTGCAGAGGAGTGGGAAAACTGCACAAATCATTTATTTAAGTCATGCTCCTTGTTATGACATTGTCATTTTAAAACCGATCATGAAACTGAAATAGTTGTATCCTAAGCGTATATAATAAAATTTAGTTGATATATCTTTCTACCCTCCTGATGCACACTATAAATACTGGAATAGAGATGTGATGTATTAAAAGAGGATATTTCATTGCTAGCTTTTGTTTTCCCCTAAGCACTATTAGTCATTTTTCACTGTAGCATAAAATACAGATCTCAAAGAATAGGGGACCAGAAAAATCCCTACTACAGCTACTGGAAGAAACAGGACAGTGACTTTATTTTAGGAGACTATTAAATTCATTAGAGCCCCTTGGTGACATAACCAGTGTGGAAGAGAATAATTACACCTTAAGGAGGTTCCTCAATCTAAGATGAAGCACAAGTTCAAATACATCAGCAGCTTAGAACACGCTTGTACATTCTCTGTGTTGCTTCATGTCAAACAGAGCTTGGGCTCCACATACCTTCAAAGATAAATAAATCCGATTTGCAGCTCTTAACCCACGGGATCTTTAACTGAGACTTGTACTTCTTCAGCCCCCTATGCAAGCCCAATTCCCTAAACCAAAAGCTACAATGTTTCTTCAGCTACAACTGATAGAGCCTTGTTCAAAATGTTCACTGGACACTCATTCAGTAATTCCATCCACATAACTGAAAATAACACTCTAAAGAGGAATCAGAACTGCTATTCTCATTCTACAGAGAAGAAACTGAGGAAATAGATCAGTATTTCAGCATGTTAACCTAAGTCCTTTATGCTGCAGTTTCTTAGGGCTACAGAAAAAGCATTTTTTGAACCTAGCACAAGAAAGGCAAATATGATGCAGAATGAAGCTGCCAGACTGGCACAAATACCAGAATCAGTCTACCTAATCATTTGCATATCACACACTGATCACGTATAAAGAAAAAGCAAGCAAAGCATATTCATAACTGGCACTTAGTGAATGACGAAACTGCTTCTATAAAATGAAGATTTATGAGATATTTCTGAAAATAAAGCCTTCTTTAAAACCAAATAAACACAAAGTTCTCAAAACTGACAGAATGCCAAGCCAAGCATTTCCTTCTTTTCCACGTTCTCAGGCTAGAAGCTTCCTTTTTTCAACTCTTGGGTTCTTTTCTCAAGATGTGTAGTTGCCTCAAAGTCATCCATTTCCTTTCAATTAATATTTTTCCATGCTAGAGAATATTGCAAATATTTCTAAAGAAAAGATCCTTAAAACGAAATTACTGCCACCTGCTGATGGTCTGAAGAAATTCAAAACATTGCTATTTAGCTGAAGACTTTACTTGGCAGTTACCTTGCAAACACGGTACCACTCCCACCCGGAAATGTGTAAGGATGCTGTTTGCGGAATACGTGACCCACTCTGCTGCAAGGGATGATTTCTAAGCTCCCACCACACTGCCAAACTCTGAATGAGATCTCTGAAATAAAAACATGAATGAAAGACCAACATCACACAATGCTGTATTTTTATAGTACACAATTTACAGAGAAGGCTTTCAGTAATTATTGCTAAAAAGATCAATAAGATAGTTTTCTGAGCAATTCTAGGATAAAGAAAGCATATCTGAGTGTTTATTATTCTCCAAGCCTAGGAGAAAAAAATCATATTAATTTAGAAGCAAAACTGTATGTCTTATCTGAGGTTACCTGCATTCTTCAAATTCACAAAGCACACTGCAATTTGCAACAGGGAAAAGTAATTTTTAAAGCAAACAAACACAACATTCTGTCTGTACACTTTTCACAGCACTACCTTAAGTCTTACAAAACCTCTTACTCTGAGCTTAGAATTAAAAAAGCGAGAATCACAGTAAATAAGTGGTCACTGCTTCTATTAAACAAGTTAGTACCAAAAGTACTTCCATGTTTCTACCAGAATAAATAACAGATTGAAGACTTTGGAGTTTTCCATATCTAGCTCAGATTTGGTCCCATAAAGCTCCAATTGTGAAAGCAGAGGAGTAATAGTTTTCTTGCACCTCTTTGAATCCTTATTTATGGAGTTCTGCTAACAAGTCCATATAATTATTAGCAAAATTAAGATAAGTCTAGGTTTTCAAATTAGACCCAAGCCTTCCAATAGTCTATCTGGTTCTCCAGCATACTCCAGTCCTCCTATACCCATCAAAAAGATTGTAAAGATTCTGAGAATTAGAGTTCACGAATTTGAGACAAGACTGAACAAACCTTGATCCATGTTTCGTACAGGAAGCATGTGTTACAAGTCACATTTAGCAACAATCTGAAACCGCACCATTTATTCAGGGCAGGATCTATCTCTTGACTAATTTAGGCAAAATACCGCAGGCCCATTTTCAAATGTGTAAAGTTGAAACTATATTAACATGTGAACAAATATCTCACCTAACAGCTGCTCTGTACATGCTTGACGAAAAACTGCTAACTTTTATACAACATAAATACAAGGTATAGCATTAGTGTGCAAGTCCATCTAGCAGGTTAATGGCACGGAACATCAAGTCACTGATCCAAAGATACGCTTGAGATCGAGAAGGTCTGACAATCGCGCATGTTGAATTTTAAACTGCACATCACAGATTTCTGGTATCTGCTGCATGTGTCAGTTATTGCCAATTAAAACATATGCCATGTGATTTTTACTTGACTTTGGTTAGTCTGGCAGCTATGAACAAATCTTTAGCTGTCTGCAGTACTGACTGACTTTGCCTTTTCAGGGAGCAGAGAAAAGGCCCCAAGTCTCCATCGCCTCCTTCCCATGGAGGAGAAGGAACAGAATGCAGCAGGAGCAACTTAAAGAGCTTTTTTGCACACTGCTTTCTCACTTTGAGTGTGGAGCTGTTACTTGTGCTCTTTCTTGCTATCAAGGCCTCAATTATCAAAGCATAAAAGCAGCTGCTGAATTTTCAGAGAAAAAAAAAACGACCTTAAGTACATGCTTGCAGCTAATCAAATAACTTAGTGCTCCAGTGGCAAACAAGATTTCAGAGTGAATGGGAGTACTGCTGTAGTAAGTTTATCCACTGACCTTCCAAGACATTTTAAAAACAATTATGATACTCATATTAATACAATTTAGCAACACACAGCCAACATAGCGGGAAAACAAGCACACAAAGTAATCGCTCAAAATACATAAGCAGTTTCTTTGAGTATTGCAGAGGAAGGTCAGAGATTGGACTGCGATGCTTCTTCTTCCATCCTCTAAGTTCCTTGTAGGAGTGTTAAACATTTGGTTACCGTGTCTCCATATCTGGTGTGCTGTATACAGCAGGCACTGCCTTTACAGGTCAAGCATATGCTTAACGCATATGCATATTTCAGTAACTCAAAATACTTAGAGGTTTTTACAAGTTCAAGGAATTTTAGGATTTTGCAGCTATCACGTGCAGTAGAAAAGTTTCTATGCTTAGAACTGATCCTAAACCACACTACTTAAAATGTCTGAGATGCATCCATCTCTATCGTAAAAAACTAAATAAAGGACAGACTGGAAGTCTTGACAGGATGTAGAGTTCTGCCTCTCCCATATCTTTTTTAATAGAAGTATACCAATCTTAACTGGAGAAAAACTTTGTACAACATTGTAATGAAAAGAGCCCAAAAAACCCTACTAAAGCCAAATCTAACCACCAGGTCAAAGAAGAAATGGCTAAAGCACAAGTTTCTCAGTTTCTCCTCCATCTCTAAATCCCACTCATTTAAACAACTGAAAGCACAGAATTACAGCAAAAATGCCTATTCAGTCATAAGTACCTCATAGGGCTATAAAATTTTAAAATTCACTAAGTTTAGATACCAGGCAGTATAGTATAGAACGGATTGTTCTCCAGTCAGCTAAGTTTTAATTAATTTCTAAAGGTGTATGTAAGAACATTAAACTCATGAACTCTCCTGTTCTACTTTTCATGATTAAATTTCACAACATCTTAAAACATGCCTTAAATTGCCAGCATTTAAATATTATTTTATTTTAATCAGTAACTTAAGATGAGGATGAGATTTTCAGACAAGATAGCATTTTCGCAAGTAATTGTCTATTTATATTCTGTAATTTTTTTTTATTAGTCAACTTCCATTACAAAAAAATGTCACTGCTTAATGAACAAACACCTTTATTCTCATATTTAGCATATAATTCCTCCTTTGTTTTAATTCTTTCATTGAAGTAAACCTTTTAGGTTCTGCCAACAACACATGTGAAATTTTTAACTCTGGTTTTAACCCTGTCGCTGCACAAAATCAGGAAGACCATGACTGTGACAGTAAATGCAGCAAGACCCGATTTCTTTCAAGACTGATCTGAAGATAAGTAATATACATACCTAAGTTTTCTCCACCCCAAACATCCATCATCATGTCATATTTCCCTAGTTCTTCAAAATAGGCTTTGTCCATCACAAATAAGCCACCAGCTATCATGGGTGTCCTAAACAGACAAGAAAAAACACGTTAAATACTTACAGAACCACAAACTGAGAAGTAACTATTAGTTGTACCTCAAGGTTAATACCTCCTTGAAAAATATTGCAATGCTCTTAGATGCAAAATTAATTGCATACATCACTCTAAGTTTTCTCTGCACACATTTTATGACAAATATAATGCTATGACCATCTTCTGAGGCAGTTTCCAAATCTCCATGTAAAGGGTGGCAATTTGTGCCAGCAATAAAACATTAACACCGATACTGTATTGTCAGCCCTCAAAACATGCTAACTTTAAAAAGAGTGACATCTACTTTTTGTTAAGGGTAAATAATCTACTAGTGTGCTTTCAAGTATTTTTTAAAATACAATTTATTTCTGAGAGTGTCATACATAATGCTACATAAATATGAATTAAATTTGAGTTTTAACGAAGATAGTAAAGTAAAGATCCCCTTTCAGGCTTGGAGAAGATGATTTCTAACTTTTTTTAGTTGCAAAATACAATCTATTAGAGGGAGAAGTGATGGTACAGACATACTTTATAGGAGCAACTGGATTTCCTTGCCGTGCTCTTCTTTGCTCTGGTGTCATGTAATCCCACTTGAACACCAGGTTCCAATCAAACCCTTCAAGAAAATATTAGAGTAGGATGTTAAAAAGGCTGTGGTCATCATTCAACTTGTAGTAACAATGGTGGCTGAAAACATTGCAAGCTGTGATTTAAATTAAAAGTTTAAACTTGTACAAACTTCTGGATAGAAAAAAACACAAGTAGGAGTCCAGATGAAAGGTAAAGAAGTTGACAGAACAATTTAAAACCCAGTAATTCCAAACACAAAATCACTTTTATTCTTCTTCTTGCCATCTACTACACAAAGCAAGAAACTCTGTCAACAAGTGACAAAGAAAAAGCTTTATATACGAATCCAGTGTCTCATATCCTTACACCAAATAAAGCACCACATGAAGATTCTCCAGCCATTGCAAATGCTCTCAACACTCTTTACTGTACAATTGTATTTAAATTCTTATCAAACAACTGCATATTTATGTTTCCATAGGCTTTATGCAGTACTCTTGGCACTCCTCTATCAGCAGGAGCTGTCTCATGAAGGTCACAACAGGTTATGTAGCTCTCACTTATTTACATTCACTTAACTCCCTGCTTTCTTCACTGCACACTTCTAAGTGCATCATTTTTTAAACACATGCAAAACAGTAGAGCACCAATATCTTACTTCCCTTATGTGAGTACATATATGCGTGCACACACAGCAACAGCTGGCCTGATCCCTTCATGGACCTGAGCACAGAAGCACATAAAGATCACTAGAACAGCCCAGACCAACAGGTCACCAATTGCAGCTTTCTACCTGACAACCATTTGAAATAAGTCCTTAAGGCAACGATAGGCAGCTGGTGAAAGACAAAATTCCTGCATGAAACACTTCCGTAACAGTTTTCAAGCTGGGTTGGGCCCCTAAGCACCAACAGCTACTAAAGAACTACACAAGGCCCAGGGCCCTCTCCCAGCACACCTTGCAAATCAGCCTGATACAGGCTGCCGCTGCCAAACACATTTAGACCCTATGAGGTCAAGCAATGAATGATTTACAGATTCCTGGTTCACAGATGTCAATAGTTTTCTTTCTCCATAATAAAGATAAAGCAATTGCTTCATGGAGAGGTGACGAAAAAGATAAGGTAAACAGACAACAACTGCAGTCTGACAAACTGTCTGCCTCCATAAACATGCATAGCAATGACTGGTGTGGAGAGCTGAAAACTAAACAGTTTTCATTTTAACTCACAAGATATTTATCACGCACATATACAATACAGAAATTATCCTGAGCTGTCTTCAGAGCATGCATGCCAATTCCTTCTCTCCATGTCTATTTCATGAAGCTTTGCACTGTAAAAATGAAAGACTACTCCAAAACTCCAAGTAGCAAACCAGCAAAATGGCTACAATCTACAGTACTGCAAAGCCTCCAGCATAAGAAAATAAAATGAGCTCCAATATTTACATGCAGTTAAAAAGTTTCATTTCATCATACATACCCAGCAAAATTACTTGCATCTGGGAGAACGTAAAAAAAAAATCTACTGTTCCCTGGCAGAAGCAGGAGAGATAGAGTTACGTATACTCCAGTGAACACAAGGGGTCTCTTTTGGAACACAGCACTCTGCTACAAACTCTGAACAAGTGTATAAATTGTCTATCCATAAAAACTTCTGTTTCGTCTCCATTTTCACCGACTCTGGGAGAAATCTGTCCTCAGTGAGATAATATCAGTAACTCTGTAAAAGGAGTGCATACCCAATATGAAATTCTACCCAGTGCAAACTGCCTCACAGGCACACTCTAAATTATTAGATCTCAGTTCACTGTAGTTTATTCCAGTAATCTGAGTGTTTATCAGGGTGGCATAAACACTTTTGCAAATCCTCCCCTCGTTTTACATTTTTTTAAATTTTTTTTTTTAAGTGCGTGGATTTAGTATTTGCCAGACTTGGGAATTATTTTAGCCCCGTCTGCTTTAAATAAAATTTGTAGCATTTGCTATGTTGCCTGTCTTGGGTGATTAAGCCCTTTGAAAACAGACCAGGCACAAATGCTGTCGCAGCTGTCTCAAGTCTCCATGCCTCAGCCACAGAGATATTTTATCTAAGTTTAAAAGCATAGTTTGGTTTCCATGTTTAGACTTGGCCCCGGTAAAAGCGTCCCCTGACGCCAAATGCCGTAGTGCCTCTAACATGGTAGTTTGTCCTCTGGGAACTTAAAAGAAATGTATTATTCACATTCCAACAGACTCCCAAATCGCTTTAAACACTGGTATGTGCAAAATTTCTATTGTTAACATTAATAAAAGACAGCTCCTCATTCTTCAGTCCAGAAGTATGGAGGCTCTGCGCATTTTAAAAAAATAATAAAAAGTATCTATTTCTATTGTGTACAAGGGGAGATAAAGGAGCCCTAAACAGCAAAAAAAACCAAAAACCCAACACTAAAAACCACCTGAATTGAGAAACATAGTTACAAAGATGAAGCATAAAAAGCAGTAACAAGTGAAATGATCTCTCAATCTTCTACTTCACTTGGAAAGAATTAAAGAGCATGAACCCTGCAGGAACCAATCGAGGGTTTCAATGAAAAGAATTTCTCCTCCTACTGCAGACAACAATGAAAGCCACATAATTGGCATAAAGATTTCCATATTTGAGGTATAATGAATAGATTGGGTAAAAGCCTTAAGGTTTTAATAAAGCTGGCACACAGACAATAGCACAGAACTATATATTAGCATACTGTGAATATATGCGCTGTGGGCGTTATTTGAAATTGTTAATTAAAAGGATATAGAACCTCGCACCTCCAGATAACTGACGAACCTGAAGCATATGGAACATTATACAAACATTGCTTTTATTTTACTTTACTAGAACAATGTTTCGTGGCCAGTTAGAGACTAGTAACTGAAAGACAGGACTGAAATTGTTTTTTCTTTCCTCACTCAAGAAAAGCCCATTTAGAAAAAGCTGAAACACTATGGAAACAGCACTGCATAATTTCTGTATCACATCTCATCTTACATCTTTATGCAGGCAGTTCAGTTTCCAGGGCTGTGGGAACAATTATTTCAAAGAAAAAAAAGGGTGGTGGGGCGGGAGGAGGTAGACAGAGAACAACTATTTTATATGCTACCTTCTTGCTAATAGTGAAAAAAGTTTTAAAGCTTTCTAATGAGTAAGGATTTTAGTGTGTGATTACCCTCCCCCACTCCTCTCTGGAAAAGGAGATGATTTGTGTAAATTTTTTTTTGAGGGCTTCACAGGTTTTTATTACTTGATGTCAACAGTTTACACTAGCTAGACTTAGTGAAATCGCAGTACTTCTAAACTCAATTTAACAGGGAATTTTGTAGCGTAAAGGTATAAACACTACAAATTTTCATGGTCACATATTACTCTCTTCACAATTACAGATCACAGCTAACAAAAACATTTGTTTTTAAAACAAATTCTAAAGCTTTCTGCTTATTCAGAAGAGTTTAATTTTTTAAGCAAACCAGCATCTTGAAAAAAACTCATAGGCACTGCATTGCTGATGGGCTTCTAAGCTAGTGAGCAATTAAAGCCTGTCTAAAAAGAGAATCAGACTCTAGCCATAAGCTGCTGACATATTCACACAATTCTACAAACATTGGAATGAGCAGCACAAACTTACAACAATTCACGTAGTAAAGATGAACTGGTTTAAAGCAGAGAACAGAAAGGCCAAATAAAATCCAAGCCTAGAATCAAGACCTACAGAACTTGAAACTAGATATATTAAAGGGAAGAACAGTGGGTTAATTGCTCATTCCACAACTGCAGTGATTATGAGCTTTGATTCCTGATGCTTTTTTTTTTATTTTAAAATCTGTATTCCAGTACAGGTACATACCGCCTTTTAAATCAGCTGACGCCCCCACGTACTGGAAGTTGTCCATATTAATTACATCAATAATAGGAGACACAACTCTGGTCTTGTCCTAAAATAAATATTAGAAAGTAATATTGAAATAATGAAATCAATATATAAAGATTCAGGCAGGATGACATGTTGAACAGTCAAGCAGGTTTTAATTAGCGTCTCGCCCAGCTCTCCCGCTACTTCAACTTACGGCTCTGAACAGCCAGTGCTGTGAACAGCACTGTTCAGCATCGCTTCACAGAGCAGAAACCACACTATACAGCTGGGAATCCTCTTGCTGTTCTAGGCTACTTATATTCAAGCAATCCGTCTTCTGACTTGCTACTGAAAGCAGCAGCAAACTTGCATTTCTAAAGACAGTCGAGTAAATGGCACTTCTATTTGTACTTTTAAAACCACCTCAAAGAAAAGAAGTACCCAGGCAATTCGTTATTTTCCACGGCAAATCTCAGGCCACATAGTGTACTATGGTCTTACTATTTCAACCTTTAAGGAACACGTAGGCCTTTCAGCAATCAGAAAAGACTTAGGTTAAAGTTAACCTATCTCATATTTCACAATCAGTTAGTTTGATAGGAAAGAGAACCTAAAACCATCTCAAACTAGTAATGCTATTAATGTCCAGCAGCCAAGATTCCAGTGGTACAGATACCACATTCCTCTGTTAAACCACGGTCTCTTATACTACCTTGAGCAATGTTAATTACCTTAGCTGACGTTTCTGTCAAAATAGTTTAAAGGAAAACAAAACAAAACAAAAAATCTTGTCAACAACTCCACATGCATCATCCAGTGGGATCATAAGATACCAGTACTCTAAAATAAGACTCACCTAATATTAGAAATGCAATATCATGGTTAAGGCAGTTTGCCTCCATAACTTACGGGGTGGGGGAGGGAAAGTTACATTTACAGATTGAAGGAGAATTTCCATGGTAGTTTGATGGAACATTTTGCTTGAGTTTGAAATAGAAGTTTGAGCTCCACAATTTAGGATCATTCAGAGAACACAGATAACTTGAGAACAGTGTATCACTGAAGCTGTAAGTACAAAAACAATGTTCTGAACAACCTTTGGTAACTGTTACAGAGAAACTGTTCTCACAGTTAAAAAAATATGCCAACCTAGGCATCTCCATTTTAAGAATTTATTTCATGTCTTCAAACAACTATACATATCTTCTAAACAGTGGTTCAGCAATGCATTCCCGTGGCTAATCAGTATTACACAGAACAGATTGTAACCAAACTGGTATGAGAATAACTTGAGGTTGTAAGAGGAGACATAAAAGCAACTCTTTTAGTCAAATGCTTTGCTTGGTCCAATAAGGACATTAGACTCTCGTTTTCATTCATCGAATCTTAACTATTCAATCTGGGCTGATTTTGATAAACCCTAATTACATAGTTCACATTTATTAGGTCATTCTGCCCAATTGAACAAGAGGTCACTAACTTCTGCATCTGCCAAAGAAGACCCCAAGCAAACCCAAGAGTATCCAAGCTGAAGACTAAGCTAAGAGCTCATTACTAATTTCTACGCTCTTTCTAAGCATCACTGCAGCTATACCACTTGGGCCAAATATCTGCTTTTATGATGCAATATAACATCTAATCAGGTCTGCTACTAGGTATTAATTAGCTTGGTCTAAAGCAAACTAGAAACGCAGACAAAACCTCACCAACCTGTCCTATTTTCCCATCAATCACATCTTTGGCTCCTGTTTCTATTAGCTGCAGCCCCAAGTACGTGTGTGTAACAGCAAGCATACAGTTTTTCTGAGTTGTACTTGGGAGGCAATTATGATTTACTGCACCTTCACTGCAGAACACTGTGTTTGTGTGCCTTCCCACACCACTAAATCATTTCAGGTGCACCCATGACCTTATTTTAGGCATTCTATACACAGTGATAGAATTAGAGGACTCCATTTAAAGACTAAGGCAGAAGATATCCAGCCTGTTATTCACAATATGTGAATCAGCACAAAATACAAAAAAGAAACCACCCTTTCTTTCTTTTCTGAAACTGAGACAGCTTATGCACCTATGACTGTATAAAAAATGTTTTCTGACAAAAATTTGCATTTTCTCAAATGGTTGTGCTTGGCACTGTTGAACCTCACCGTAAAAGTTGCCCAAGCCATCAGGTGTCACATTAGGTAGAGCTTTAGTTAAGCTTCAACTTATCTCCATCATGCTTAGTAAAGCAAGTAGCATACTGTCTATATGAGTTTGAGATTTTCTCAGGCTTTTACTGCCAGTCTGATCAGTTCTATCAGTATCAGTGCAACAGCACACTAACACCACTTGCTACACCTAAAGTATTATTTAAACAACTTACAGCTGTTTCTCTGCCAGACAAATACTCAGGTTGTGAGCATTCAGTTCCACGTACAACACCCACTTAGTCAGCCTGGAAATATGCCGTTCCTTCCACGATTTGAAAACATAGATTTGCTCAGCAGCAGACAAGAGACTTGCATGTTCTTAAGGTGATGCTTTGCAGGGCACTATGAAGTTGTTAATGCAGAGTCTGCTAAAAAGAGCTTGTGTGTCTCCAAAGTAGAGAGTTCATTCACTTAAAACACTAAAAAGCAGCTGCTGCCTTTAAGTTATCCTAAAAACAGACACTTAATTACCTTACAGTTTATTTATTTATATTTATTTCTAATAAAGTAGAAATCATTCTGAAGGGTTTACTTATAATGAAACACACAAGTGTTTCTACAGTTTCTTGGTGAGGATAATAGAAAGAAATAGCTTGCAAATACTGCAAGTCTCTAGTGCCTGGAAATTTGTAGCAGACTATTTCATCTTAATATTTCATAAAGAAGTTATGTATGCTCTAGAGAGTTAGACTATTATATATTATTCTCAAAAACCATCAGAAATTATCCTCAAGATTCTGCATACATTGCTACTCCCCCTCTAAAAATCTCAAGACACTTTAAAGATTAAGCTTCGTAACACTCTTAAGAAAAAAATACAAATGTTTCCCTTTCAGCATTGTGTCAGCTAAAAGCTGACTCATTCAAGGTCACAAAAATCTGAAACAGATACGAAAATGGAAACCACATCTTGTTTCTTAACGTTAATTCTTTCTTCCTTTTAAGACATTCTTTGTTTAAAAATGCCTTCCTAGAAGTGGTACAGGATTTACAGTCATGCACTATGAGAACAGATTAGTTCAGTTCTGCAGCACCAAAATCGCCCAATTTTTATTTTCCTCATATAACTGACACATTATAAGAACAGAATATCAAAGTGATTAGAATTTAGAAATGAAAAAAGCCAAGTAGACAAATGTTCATGAAATAGCTGGCAGTTGCCAATGTTTTCAAGGTTATGCACACTTGTTACTAGGTTGACTTTTGGGGGCAATCAAAAGGTTAAACTCCACTGGCTCCTCATTTAATCTCCCCTAATGCACACATGAGAAATCTAGGACATAAAAGTAGCCTTGGGGAATCAGGCAGAAAACCGTTCTCCAGGAGAGAGCAAAGAAGTTATACCAACTCCATGTTACACAAGTATCTGTGTAACAGATTGTTCTGATCGCTACAATATTCACCCTTTATGTATGTTGCTTTTGCTTTAAGGCTTAGCAAAACTTGTGAAGAAAAACCCCTAGACCCTTCTAGGAACGCTGAGCAAGCCTGGTCAATTGACAAAGATGCCCTAAGAAGGAAGTCATCTCAACGAAAACAACTGTGGGAAGGATTATCCTTCAGAAGAATAGGAGAGCTCAATGACTCAGGTGCTTCTAACACAAGCAAGATGTCAAAGACATGGCTTTCTGAAGGGGTTACGGCACATCAGATCGAGTATTGCAGAACTGATGCAATTCAGACTGTTTATTGAAAGCTATACCTTTTTGTATTGTAAAATACACAACTAGTCCCCCAGAACTCTGACAGAATTAAATGCCAAGTGGGCAATTATGGAACAAAGAGAAAAAAGAAAAACAACCCATGCTTTCCACCACATATAGAATGGATGCAGCAGCACATCAGAAAATACTGTATTAATGCATAGTAGCCCTGACCAGAAAAGTTACCTTCGAGGCCAGAGGAGATTTGGGTTCATGTCTATCCACCTTCTTGTCACTGAGACTACTAAGAAAATGCTGCCAATTAACATCAATTAACACACCAACCACACTGTGAGCAATATCAATCCATTCAAAATAACAAAGAACTATCATATACTATACAAACACCATCCATGTCTTAATCATTTCAACAAGCAGAAAGCTTAGAAGCTACTTTACCAAGCTCTATACCTGTTGGTCAGAAATCTTCCCAGACGAAAGTAAACTGGAATTTCAAATCAATTATTTAACAGTACATCAAGCTTTTAAGAATGGAAAACTGTATTCACACAGCTGAAGACTATTGGATGGCACACATTAGTGTGCATCCCAGTGAAGAGCACTGAGGAGCAAGTTTTGAAGGATCTAGTTCATGTGCTGCTAAAAAAATAGCTGCTGCCCAAAGCAAAATATGCACCCATTTACGCCACCAAGTATACCCCATGTAACGCTGGATCTTCACAAAATTGTCAGCAACTTAATAACAGGTTTTATATTCTGTTAGGATGAAAATGTACCACTGTTTTGTATCTAGTATCAGTTTCAGAAAGCTAAATGAGTGTGCCCTGAGAAAAGTTAGACAAGAAAAAAGGGTAAGTGGCAAAGTATCAGTCTTACTAAAGGCAGGATTCTGTTGCCCTAAACAGCCATTTCTCTTCTGGTTTCTCAAACAGGAAGATGCTTCAAACCATTTACACAAAAGGACCTGAAACAGTTCCCACATCCTAGAAGCCATTAGTGCTTTGGCTGCAAGCATTCTCCACTTCCATCTGAGAGAGTTAATGCCTTCCAGTTTATTTTTCTAGTTAATAATTATAGAGAACTTCCCTCAAACTTCTGAGGCTATGACACCTTACACGGGCACCAAAATAGAAGAAATTGCTACGTTACTTGTGCTGAAGGGCTTTTAGGTTCTAAGTGCTTTAATAGTGTCCAGGTCTAAGCTGATCAAAGTTATTTAAACTCCAAAATAAGGAAAAATTAGTCATCAGTTGACAGTTTCTCCACTGACATAATGAGTATATGGGTTTCACTTCTCTCCCTGTCCCCTCCTTTTTGAGGGGAAATACAAAGAGAAATGTAGAGAAGATAAGCAAAGAACTGAGCATTAACAAGACTGGGCACCTTAATGAAAATATTTTTACAAAGAAGCATTTTGAAAGTAAGCCTTTACAGGAAGAGGAGTTTACCAGAAAGTGAATGCAATTAAGCAAGAAAAAAACACCCCTTTGTCTGGAGTGTTCCCCAGTGCTTTTAGGGAAAACACTTGATTCACTTTCCACTTCATCTGATTTCCTCCAGACCAAGTTAACAAGTATAACCAACCCCTGGAGAAAACACTGTGCTTTCACTCTCAATCCTCTCACTTGCTTTTCTAGGACAGAAACTAAGCATCGTTTTCATAGAAGCTGAGAGCCCACAGTCCCTGCTAATTTCCAGGAGAATTTTGATTTCACAGCTCAGTCTCCCTCCTATTATCGCACTGAATCGTAATGAGGCATAAATACTCAGGTAAACCGAATCACATTGAGATGATATTTGTTGAGGAGAACGATACTTTGCTCTAAAGATTTTCCACACTTACTGAGGAGGTCCCTAAAGAACCAAGGAAGCATATAGGTGAATTGCCTGTAAAGATAATAAGAAATATTCACATTCTATGTTCCCGTGGTCCCAGATTAAATTAACAAAGAGTGGGTTTTAATCACTGAACACTCTGATCATCTCCATCATCTCATTTCAGAGAAAAAGCTTCCTTAGAAAAATGCATAACATTAATGTAGTATAAACCAGATAGCTTTAAAATTTAAAAGCTACTCCTTCAGTAAATTACTGTAGAAGAACTTTTTACTAACCTCAGCTACTCTTTCCAAAAGTGGTTCCAGCCAGTGTTCATTGCATTCACAGTGACTGTCCAGGAAAGTCAGCACTTTTGCTTGTGCTGCATCTGCCCCTCTGACACGGGAGCGCATCAAGCCTGAGAAGTAAAGATAAAGTTTTAAATACCGAGGAAAACAAACAACAGTAGTGAGAAACTATTGCGTTCCAAATTAGTCATAAATTAAATCGCTCTAACTTCAGACAAGACAAACACACAAATTCCATTATCAAAATGCAATGCTAGTAAACAATTCAGTGAAATGCCTTCATGCCAAGCAGCCTGCACATTTCCAATCTACTGCACCCTTGTCTACAGGTTTCACTCTGAAGTAGAAGTGAAGTACCTTTTCAAAAAAGGTGACACACAAGTACAGTTGGCTCTGCATTATAGTAAATTATAATTATACTGATCAACACTACTCAGAATTGGTCCTGAAAACAAACACTTTTCAAAGAATCATAGAACTGTTCAGATCAGAAAAGACCTTTAAGATTGAGTCCCACTGTTAATTTAACACTGCCAAGTCCACCACTAAACCATGTCCCTAAGCATCTCATCTACACATCTTTTAAATACCTTGAGGGATGGTGACTCAACCACTTCACAGGGCAGCCTGTTCCAGTGCTTGACAACCCCTTGCATGAAGAAATTTTTCCCAATGCCCAATCTAAACCTCCCCTGGTGCAACTTGAGGCCGTTTCCTCTTGTCCTATCGCTTGTTACTTGCGAGAAGAGACCAACCAACTCCACCTTGAAACAACCTCTTTTCAGGTAGTTGTAGAGAGCTGTAAGTTCTCCCCTCAATCCCCTTTTCTTCAGGCTAAACAACCCCAATTCCATCAGCCGCTCCTCGTAAGACTTGTTCTCTAGTCCCTTCACCAGCACTGTTGCCCTTCTTTGGACATGCTTCAGCACATGAAGTTCAGCAACAGAATTATCCCCACTGTCATTCACTCTCCCATCCTAGTTATTACCACAGTCTGTCCATTCTTCCATCAACTTCTTCCAGATATAACCATATTTCCTTAATGCATGTCTGAGAGCCTCACCCCCATCCCCTTCAACTTTATTTCCCCTGTGTTTCTTGCAACTCTTGTTTTGTGGTTTGGTGGGATTTTGTTTGAGGGGTTTTTTGTTTTTGTTTGGTTGGGGGGGGTTGTTGGTTTTGTGGTTGGGTTTTTTTTTTCTGAGGGGGGGTAGGGCTCAGTAATTTTACCCTGAAAATATTTCTTTAGGAAGAAACTACTTTGCCCTGTTCCTTCATTTCTTTCCTTCTTTTAATATTTGTTCATTGGATGTCCTTAGCATTCCTTAAAGTTCCTTGCTATACTTACACACACATCCCAGAACATCCCATCATTTACCCCAATATAAAATACAGCAAGCTTCATCTCATTTCTTTGCAAATTTACTCCCTACGTTTCTCTATTACACTTCACAATTAATTGATTTTACTGCCAGTCAATAACGAAGCCAAGTAAATAGCTTTTTTTTTTCTATATTGTTTCCCATCAAGTCTGTTCTGTTGTGGTTTCTTTTGAGTTTTGGGGGGTTTTCTTTATTATTTCCCTTAACTGAAGCATTGTCACAGAGTCAAACTCATTTCTTTCCATTCCCTTCACAAGATAAGCTTGCGAAACATGACTCTGCCAAAACAGAATAGAAGATACTTAACAGGAAAAGCTTGTTCAGTCTGTCCAACATTCAGCAATAAACCTCCCTCTTCTCTTAGCACAAATGTGAGTGCTTTACTGCAGTAGACACATACTGTGCTGATGCTCCCTAACTGTACTTTCTGCACCTTTTCTGTTGCACATCGGCAGCTAAACACGCCTCGTAATTTTGAGGCTTTCTCCCTTAATCCAGTTTTAAATCTGTTCTGTTTTTCCACATCAAACTATTCCTCAAGAACTCTGGCTATGTTTATTTTACTTCTGCAATTCCTCTCTTCCAAAGCTTATATCTAACTTACATTCTTATAGAACCTACTATCTTGTTCTGCTTCCACATAAAAGAACAAAACAGTGTTTCTAATTTCCATTTTTTTGTCCTAAATCTGAGGTGACCGCTTGGGGCACCGGGTCTTCTACAGTCACACTCAGCATTACATCAGAGACTTGAGAAGGTTTCCCTGAACATTTATTCACAGACTACCATGCTCTCCAAAACACATTTTCCTATTGCGAACTCGGGTCCCAGAGATGAGACCAAAAGCTACTATCACGTATTGCTGAAAGCACAGACAATATCCTTTTAATTTTTTATTTTTAAACACACTGCTTTCCTCTGTTGTTAATACTAATGTCTTAGTGGTTGATTTTTCTGATTCTGATACATGTGTCTGAGATACCAGTATCAGCCTACTCTTGAAAATGAAAAGCAGAGTGAGTATGAAACTCAAGAAAACAAGCCAGCAATCAAACAAAATCTTAAAGTATTTTAATTTTAAAAATTATCACCTGGTTGCACATACACATGCCTAAGCAGAATATAAACACTACAGTAGATCCCACGGGTAATAATTTAATCCTAATCTCACAAAAATACCAAGGCAGTACTGTGCCTTTAATTTGCAAGTAGTTTTTCTTTTCTGACATAGTAACAGATTTGTCAAAGTCATATTTCATTTTCAGAAATATAAGTACGAATGAAAATTCAGTTCATCTGTATACTTATAATTACCACATACCTTACAATTACCATAAAATAAACATCAAAGAAGTGTTACTTCATTTGATTTTTCTATTACTATCACCTCTGCCTTAAAATGCTGTTCTGACCAGAGGAATGATGCTATCTACTTACTCTGCAACCAGGGCATGTCTTAAGAGGCCTGCTTTCCTAATAAGCTTTGTTCACAAGTATATTCCAAACAAAAAATTTAAACACTGAGCCCATCAGTTTGCAGTAATTAGATATGAGACAACACATTTTGTGCGTGTCATTTCCAGTTTCTGACAATCTAATGATTCTATCTGTTCCTCAGGCCAGGCTGGCAGCCTAGAAGATACAGCACCTATAAATATAAACACATATCTGCTAACTCAGCCAGCTATTTCAACCATCTACTCTCAGTTATTATTTCAAACAGCTGTGGAATAACAGTTGCCTGTATCTTAATACTTTAAGCTCCACAGCCAGAAAGCTGCTGACTGAAGGACATGGAGACATAAGACCGTAATTTACAAAGCACAACAAAGAGGAAAACAAAAATGGAAGACAAGTTTGCTACATGGGACACTGGCTTCAACAAAGCCAACATGCTTCCAACCCTCCTGGCTGTTCACATCCTCTCAGGTTTGCAAACAAACTGTTCTAACCAGGCTGTTCACCAACTGAGTATTTAAAATGATCTCTAGTAAAGGAACCAGAAAAAAAAAATAGGGCTATTCTAAAGGTGAATTGCTTCAGACATTCTTACAGTTTACAGTAAGACCTTAAGGACAATGGGAGCAGCTTAACTGAGGATTCAGTTCAGTAACAGAAAGGAGAGGTTGAGGGTGAAAAGCAATTTCTTAAAGTTGGTGAAAGCCAACAGTGGGCAACTGCACACACAACTATATAGGATTAATCAGAATTACTGTTTTTACTTGCACAAATGCATTTGGTTTTAGTCCTTGCACTTTTAAGTTGACTTATAAGTGGAAGTCTCTCCTCCAATATGGAATGTACAGTAGAATGTTCCTTTAAAAGATCTGATGAAGATTAACAAATAAGGCAGGGCAGTGGAATTTGTATCTTCCTTAGCCCAGATTAAGCCTACCTTCTCGGCGATCGTTTCGAAGAACCCGCACTTTTTCAATTTTTCCCAAGAGAGCACCATCCTCAGCTTTAGAAAATAATAAAATAAAATAAGTCTTTAAAGGGATGAGAACGAGTTTGATATCCTACACTGTATACCGTAAGAGAAGCTGTCTTCAAACAAAAGCTTTGCAGTGGAAAATGTTTATGGTCACAAAGAGTTAAATAAGACATATGATTAAAAAAAAATACCTACTTGTCTCACCAGAAATAAAGAAAAGTTACCAGACTAAGGAACTACTACGCCCACTATGTTATTTAAAACTAATTTAATTTTACGCTCTTGAAATATTTTTATTTAATGATAATTCTTTTTGCTTACTTCAGACAGTTTCTACATTGCATAAGAAAAAACCCACAACTTTTTACAGGATTAAATAAACTGTTACATTTGCCTATAAGAAAGCTCACCTCTTAACCAACATTAAGGCTTAAACCTATCCTAAACTAGCTATAAACTACCACACAAATGTAGACATGAACTTCCTTTTAAGAAATGTTACTCAGAGGTTCATTCTAATTGTTCAAGTTTGTATTGCAGTACTATAGCACTTATAAAACTCTGACTTATTTTAGATTAAGTACTAGTTTTGGATCAGTCTCTGCAAACTCCTACTCATGTGACTTATTCTGAACAGTCACCTACTAGCATCTACAGAAAGTCTTACCAGAATAAACAAAAAGTTCAGACACTGTAAAAGTACTTACGATCATTACTGTAGTCATCCACCAGTATGATTTCCTTAATAAGATGTGATGGGCTTTTTTTAAGGACACTGAAATAGACAAAAAAAAAAGTACTTAATAGTAAGAAGTCTTAATTTTCCGTAAGAATGTCATAAAAGCAGTAACTTTGTTGGCTAGGTTCTACTGTGACTTAAGGATTCTATCATCAACAGCTACTGGCTCACTCTTACAGAGCGTATTTGTGAAGAGGCGTAAGTAAAATTGCTCCTTGCAAAATTCCAGCATTCAGAAATGAGTGGATTAGACAACCTGTAACATGGAAGTCTTGCAGATAGCTTTAGATCAAATATGCCCTGAGAATGCATCTTTACTCAGATTTTTTCACAACTAGTTATACAGCCAACCTGCAAACATCTTCTAGTAATTGGTTCTACACTTCCCTGCATTTGTAGTTAAGGAGAGTGATTTTATTTGTCAAATGGCCCTATTTCAGAATGTAAGAACTGGAAGCATCAATGAAATTAAGGCTCAGGTTTCCATCTGCAGATGGTTCAGAAAAGCACAATGGCTTTTTACTTCCCTTCCTTTTCACAAAGTATCATCTGACACAAGTGAATGACCTTCAGGGAAAAAAAAACCAAAAAAAACCACAAAACCAAAAAATCCCCAAGCAAAAGTGATCAAGGTCTCTCAGGGATACCTGACAACAGTTCGAAGCAAAGCAGATCTTGCCTCATTATGAAACGTGATCACCACACTAGTGGCTGGCAAATCTATCCGCCACTGTTTCCGCTGACACCTGAAAGACAAAATATCCTGTCATTTAAACATAGTGTTTCCATCCCAGGCGTAGCAGACAGCCTTCATCATGAAGCATTTACCTATTACTCATTTACACACTACATCTACCTAGGAAGAATGAAATATCTTGTTTGCAGGTGATAATTATAATCAACTCTTCTTCTACTTTTGGTAGTACCCAACAGACTCAGAAGTCAGTGTAAGATAGAGGCAAGTTCCGAAAAGTCACTGGACTATCATCACCGCAGCATATCAAATGCCTTTCATGCAACTGAATATGAATCCAGAGAACTTATTTTGCTTTAAAAGCAATCAGAAAATCTAAGCAAAAGAGCATATTTTTAATGAAAGTGCACAGGTTCACAGGCTACCTTATGTCTCCTCTTTAGAATGGCACATGTCCACTTCTCCCTTTATTTTTAAAGCTATTGTAGCATCCTAGTCTTGCTCTTAGATACAACTTCTCATGAGAATATAAACCTGTTTTTAAGGATTGTAACATTTGGAATTTGAAAAACAAAGCTAAGAAAATGTTGAGCCAACTAAACACAGAACCACATCCTTCCAAACCACTGAGATAATTAAATATTCCATCTATGTCAACTCATTTTACACCACCTCTAGCAGCCTGAAATTAGTATAATAAGCAAAAAGAAGCAAATCCCAAAATATTTCCTGCAGAACTGCATAAAGTTAAGCTATTTAAACCATCGACAATAAATCTAAAAAAGACACTATCACTGTATTAGACACTGTAACAGTACTAGAAAACACAATATATTGAGTTTATGCTGAAAGCATTACAGTCTGACAGGTCACGAAACTTTCATGCAGTTAATGAGTGATGTATTTGTTCACATATTGTTTATTTAAAATTGGAGTGGAGTTTTAACAGGTCTAGTTGTCTTCAGGGGGAATAAACCCAGCAGCATGTACCTTTACCAAACTCAGTAAGTATTTTGTGCAGCATTAATTAAAGGGAAGAGAGGCAAGTTATACTGCTACCTAAACTAGGTCTCTGCCTACACAAAGGCCTCTCCACACCTGACTAAACATCTGTGATGCATATCACAAAACCACACAACCTTCAACGTCCTGGAATCAGAGCGCGAGCGGCAGTGAGCTTCTTGCCCTTACCCACTGTACAAAAGCCCAAGGACCTGCGGTGTTTTTGATACAACACACCCATAATGTCACACGTTAGTGCTTGCTGTGAAACAAAACATTACTGTGCCATGACAACCTTGCTCACTCTGAAGAAAAACACAGCCCAGGCCAACGCCTACACTCGCTGCATCAGATCAGCAAGGCCTTATCCAGCTTCCTCAAATGGTGATCTCTAGATTACTTCATCATTAGCACCCATCTTTGAAGCAATAAATCACAAACCTGTACATATTCCTGGAAAGTAAAGATTTAAGATCTTCTCTGTTGCAGGCTTCTGACAGTTCATATGGACAACTACAAAGCATCTAGCTATTATACACCAAAGCCTATGGTGCCAAAGAAAGATACTCTTTTTTCTGCTAACTTTCAAATTGTCCACAGAGAACAAGTCTGCTGTGCATGCAGTTATCACATGAAGCACTTGCATTAGAATAATTAAAAGTCACATTAAGCTTATATTGATCTCTTTGCAGAAGAAAGCACTTGAGCTAGAGCACATCTTAGGGTAGAATTACTCAAAGCAATGAAGCCTCTCAGTTTTAAGGAAACTGAAGTGCACTACCGTGTATTTCTGAGGGAGAAATTAAGGTTTTTAGGCTTCCAAATAAAACTGAAGGAAAGTTTCATCAAGTATTTCTACTCTCAGCTCTTCAAAAATCCCTGCTTTAACTGACTCAGTAGCTGTCCTCCTCCTATTCCACTGCGTCATTAGTGTCACAGTTAAAAATCAAACCAGAGAAACTATGTCATCACTTCTGACATGGAGATTAGACATTCTTTCCTCAAATTACAGCACTTAATCTTTCACGCAGTTCTCTTGTTGTTCAGTTACCCTTTGTAAACAGACCGCAACAGAAGGAAACCCAGAGGTTTCTCAAAGCTGTTTTAAGTCGCAGGTGTGAGCATCAGCTACAGTGAGAATGTACATTCCTACTCAGACCTCCTCTCTCTGCGTCCTTTCCTACATTGTGCCTGGCTGTTTTTCACTTCTTCCTTTTGCTTTAAAATAAAGGCGAGCAGCTTAAACAGGTGAACCAGTGTACTACTGGCAGGACTTCACAAAAAGCAAGTAGAAAGCTTTGGTCTTAAGCTGATGCTAGTAAAGTCTGTCCTATGCAGAAAGGACTAAACAATGTAGTATTAAAGAGATGCATAGTTACATGCACATTTACATATCTAACGTACAATCCTGATAAACTGCTTCTTAACAACCTAGACAATTTCAACAATTAAGCAGTATCATTATGGCGTTATTTCAAAGTCAAACAGCCTCTTAGACACATTAATACAAATAATAAAAAGTTTCTTAAGTGGAAGCAAGTATTTCTTATCCAGGTTTCTTTTCTAAAAGAAAAAGATTGTAGAAGCTCTGTAAGAAATCTTAAACTAGTTGCTTTCAATTTTATTGAAATTAATATGCTTCCAAGTGTCACGTGCTCAGATCGGTAACATATTCTTCTTCCTAAGGCTATTGCTCTTACTCTTTCCATTGGACAGTTCCCAGACGTTAAATTCCTGTGAATTTTTCAGCTTCTGCAGTGAATGCCCTTGCCAACTTGCCAAAACAGAAGGAAAATTAATTACAACACTGCAGAGGAAGCATCAAGGACAATTTGCAGGAATAATTGCTTCAGTTTGGGTTGTTTTGAGTTTCGTCATTGTTGTTTTGTTGTGGCTTTTTTTCTCCCTGTTAGGTTTCTTTTTTCTTTAAATGATGACCATAAACAGACTCATGGGCTAAATCTGCTCCACAGCATAGTCTAAGTAATAATCACAGCGCAGATACAGCTTTTTCCCAGGAACATATCTCTGTTTCCCTCTCTCTCTTTTTCCAGCTGTGTACTATGTATCTTCTGTCCTGTGTTCACTGGGGTGTGCATAAACAGATTTTTTTAGGTCTGAAGATGACAATCAGCACATACTCAGAAGAACAGAATCACAGAGTGACTGAGATCAGAAGGGGCCCCTGCAAATCCTTTAGCCCAAATTCCCTGTTCAAGACAGGACCAGCAACAACAGGCTGTACATTGAGCTTTGAATATCCTTAAGTCTCAGGACTTCGCACCCTCTCTGGGCAACCTGCTCCACTGTTTCATCACCCCCACAGCAAGAGAGACTTACAAATGTAGAAACTAAGAAAAGTCATCAGACAAACAGGAACAAAGAGAGACTAAAATGCAGCACCAGTATGGATATAGAATACACACTGATTGAAGTCATGGTAACAGAAAAGCTTGAATAAGATTAATTGTTCTTTAATCCATCGTTCAAGGACCGCACCACAGTTTATTATTCCTGTCATTGTAAGAGCTGGAGAGTTCCTGCTTTAGAAAAACCACCTGCTGCTCAAAAGCCGTAAATACAAAAAGGTTAATCCAAGCTAAACACGGCTCGGTTGGTACTTACTGATCATGTCTAGTGTCGGGAATGCTTCGGTCCATTCGCAGTTTGTCACTTTCTACCTGATTGAACTTATTGCGGGCATATGGATCCTGACCAGATCGCACCATTGTAGCACCAACATAAGCATCTTGATCAAAGTCTTGCCACCGAACTTTTCCTGCAATAGAAATTATAATATAATTGCTAAGATTACATTGGATAAAGAACAGCAGTCAGCAATCCAAACATAACTCATGAAACAACTTGGCTTAATTTTGCAACAAAGTAATTAAACGTTAATACTACTGTTAATAATGTAATATCAACAGTCATTTTGCATATTAAGTTCCACTAGAACATCCTGTGAATTAATGAAAAATTGAACATACTCAGTTGTATAAACTGAGTTCTGTAGTCAACAGAGCATCCTTCATCTTGTTCTTTTTGCTCGTTGGTTTTAGTGTTGGGGTTTTTTGTCACTGGTTTTTTGGTGGTTTTTTAACTCCAAATACCACAATTTCCATTTAAAAAATAACCACCTGAAACTCCACATGGCAACAGGTATTAATATGGCAGATGAACTGGCTATAGAGTTATCCAAGAAACAGACTTCAAAGATATTATAATTTAATTTACTATCTCATTACCTAAGAAAAAACACAGTCAGTTATAATCAAACCATTGGAGAAAGAAGCCTTTTAGAAGTGTAAGATACTACTACACTCAAAAAAAAAAAGGCATTTAAAGTAGGCAGAGCAGTAGATCACTCTCCAATGTACTCCAACTGCTCTCCAGTAACTGCAACCTCCTCTACAATCAGAACTGATTCACAGATTAATCCCTCTGTAACAAGGACAGTGTTACTCTGTAAACGGCTGTGGCACTAACGCAGAAAGGCAGATTAACATCCAGCCACCAGGAATGAAAATTCAGGAGTTTCACCACCCTCAGGTGTGAAACAACAGTATGATATCTATCAGTTCCTACCTCTAGCTGAACGTTTGCCCATTGACAGCTAAACCTATGCTACCTACAGCAAATTTACACCACCTTTAACTCAAAATCAGAGCTCAAGTTTTAATGCAATACAGACATTCTTGCTTTAACGTGGATGTGTATGAGAATCTCCTGCAAGCAGAGGCTTGCTGTGGTGAACACAGCATTCTGCTGTCATAAAAACAAAAAAAAAAAATACAAAGCCAAAGTTGTCTCTTGTGGTCGCTGTTTATCACATATGAGAGGAGTTAATATTAATTGTTTTCCATAAAAAATATACAAAGTTTCTGAAGTAATTGCAATTAAGTTCACCAAGTAGGAGGTTACAGAAATATCACTCCATTCAAGCTCAGCTTGTAGATAAATAATATAGCTCAGGCATATCCTAAACTAAGCTGATGTGAATAGAGGGAATACTATCCTAACAGCTATTAATGAGTCAGATGTCGCTGAGATGTTTCAAGATTTGCTTTTGCTGTCTCTCAACCAGCAGAGCATGAACACTAAGCAAGGCCTCATTTACAGCTTTCTATTCATAAGCCATGCCCCAACTATGGTGTGTTAACTCTCGCTAGAAGTGTCTCATACTGAAAGAATATTTTCTGTGATCGAACAAAATAATTGTTTGTTGTTGAACCAGACAAATACCACCAACTTGATTACAAATTCTCTATCATATCAGGATCATCCAAAGAGCTCATCTACAAAGCCAACTTGGACCCACAATCTGATCTGGTTCTCAGATAGTACTGGAGGTCATACGGCAAAAACATCAAGGCATGGAAGATTTGGTGGATTTAGTGGTTTGTTGATGGTGTTTTGGTTTGGTTTTGTTTGTTTCTTTGGTTTTTGTGAAGAAATTGAGTAAGAAACAAGTGCCCATATTTCTGTACTACTGATTTAAGAGCTAGCCAGTTAACATTAAGTAACTATTTTTACATTTGAATTACCATCCTAAGAAAGTTAAACACATACACACATAGCAGAACTATAGGGTTAAAAAAACGCAACAGACTGCAGAACATTTAATAGACACTTGGTGAAGTATCCCAGAGAGGAAACTATGGGAAAATAACTGGAGGGAGAAATACAGGTTTTCAAATTTCATTTACTGAAAACAACTCTGCGAAGAAAACTTTCCAGCTGTCGTGGGTAGCCCACAGACTGCCAAGGTTGTTTATTTTCTATCCTTTCAAGTTCTTTCTTCAAAACATTTCCAGGAACTTACTTTGAAAACAAAGCTTACACCTCCGCTAGCTACCACACTACAAATAACCCCATTCACTGTAGTGTCCAATAATTACACCAAACCTCAGCTGCAACAAAAGTATACAAAATGCAAGAGTGCCTTTATTTAGGAAACCAGAAGAAACACAGGTAAGACCATCTCACCACATAACTCTCTCCCTTAGCACTTCCTAACACTTTTGCAACCTCCTTGGTAACTAAACTCCATTACCATCCTTCCTTCCAATTTATAATATAGCTTCAATCTGGAACATAGATTGAATATTTTCTGAAATACAGGGCATGTCATGTCAGTGCTTTCGTAGTCTACAAATAAAAGTATTAGTGCATTTCACAAAATAAAATCTACACTTAAAATGAACTTATATAAGACTTTCAACTTTCAAACATTCCAACTTCTAATGGATTTTAATACTATGGGTGCTTCAGGACTGTCCCTAGCCACTCCTCCAGTTGCTGTCCATCCAGGAGAAAGAGTAGTTAAAACACAAGGGGTCATGAGGGCAGCACATCAGCAGCATGGGTGATACCTTCACAAGCATTTTTCTTAAACAGGTTGTGCTCTTTATGAACCACAACATGCAACATAGGCTGCCCACACAGACTTAAGTTAACTGCTGGAAAATGAAAGGCTTATCTAAAGGTAAAGTATACTGTCTAGCCTTACTTGTGCTGAAAGGCTTGCCTTTCTGACAATTTATGAACTCAATTTTGAAGTCAGAAGTGGTTTCACAGACCTTTTCCATTATTACAGGTACTGTTTCTTTTGTATGCTTCCCTGGGGTACACAAATAGGAGCATGTTTGATTTAATTTCTTCTGGGGAGTTAGCTGGCTCTGCAGTTTCCCGAGTTTCAATGGATTTTGCCAGGTGGAATGACTATAAGAAAATGCAGCTACATTATTTCAAACTTAACTTAAGGAAGTTCGTAACTTCAAATTCAAGCAAACATGTGTTTACTTGTATCTAGACCTAGTATGACACTAAATTAATCTTTTAAACTCAACAGTAAATGAAGCAGGTTTTGCTACACAAGAGTCATATCAAGCCAAAAAAATTTAAAAAAAAATAAATAAAAAATCACTGAACCAGCTAATAACCTGGAACTAGGATATGCTGTAGTGTTGAACTTGGTTTTTATAAGAAGTGCTTGTTGCACATACATGTAACTTATACAGAAACAAGAAAAAGACGAAATCCAGTGAACTCGCTTCCTTTTGTCCAGGTATTTCCCAACTCTGAAGTCTCGGAGAAGGCAATCAACAAAAATAGTGCAATTCACCACTATAATTTACAATAAGCATGCTGATTTTAAAAAGGAGGCACATTTGAGGTTTTTTGATCTGCAGTAAGTAGGTTTGTCCAAAAAAACAACACTACTTTGGTACATTTTATTTCATTTCTGTTTCCATCCAAGTAGAGCCTGATATAAATAATTTAAAATGTATCATTTAACATTATCTAAGACGTTAAAATCAGCAAATGCAACACTAGTCCAGAAAGCATAGAGTAAATTTGAGAAGACAGAAAGGAGACCACTTCACAGGGCTAAATTTACTGAAAAGCAATGACAGCCACTGAATATAAGAACAAGTGAGTTTGGCTTGCCAGGAAGGAGCCAAAGCCTGGCTCTGGCTCCAGCAGAAGGCCCCGTCAACTGTGTGCAATACTAATCTGATCTACTAAGGAAAAAGTCAGATAAGAGCAAGTCAACATGAGATAGAAAAAAAGCAGAGCAGATAAATCTGCATGCAACCAAGCAGCAGGCAACAAAGAGTAGGAATAGATGGACACAGAAATGTACTCCCTCTTACTGACTCAATACAACTTAAAAGCAGTAGGGTACTCAACAAAAATATGATTAGTATGACTTACAGGCATTAAGAGATTCCAGATCTTCATTAACTATGAAAAAGAGGTTTTTGAGTAACTGCTGAAACTTCTATCATTAGAGAGAACTTGTCTGTGTGGATAACTAACAGGAAAACTGTATAACAATTCTTAGAATCATAGAATCTGTTGGGCTTGAAAGGACCTTTAAAGGTCATCTAATCCAATTCCCCTGCAGTGAGCAGGGACATCTTTAACCAGATCAGGTTTCTCAGAGCCTCATCAAGTCTGACCTGGAATGCCTTCAGGGATAGAAACTCCAAGAATGGTCTTTCTATCTACAAGAAGTAACATCACTGTTTTCATAAAACAAGAAATAAGACTTTTGCAGCATTTTAAAAAGTAACCAAATGTATCAAAGGTAAAAAAAATTAAATAATCGAGTTCAATCTTTACGTAAAGCCATTTTAAAGAAAATGATAATAAACAATTTCTTAATTCTGAGAAGTCCTGAAAGTTATGATGCGGCATAGTGCTGAAATGTAAATATAGGTCTCCTAACCTCAGTGGAAATGAAAGGCAGTTTTGAACCAAAGCCCTCCTAAAATTCAGTTACTTTGCTTTAAAACAGTGTAAAGAATCTGAATAAATATGAATTACAAGCTTCATTGCCATAAAGATTCAAAAGTTTGCCTACATGAATCAAAAATCATGAAAATAGTGATTTCTGAGTGCATAATTCTGTCTGCATAGCTTTTGGTGTTCAATTCAAGACTCTCATGCTGCTTTGCAGTGAGGATTCTCCCACCTGTTAAATCAAGCCATAAGAGATTACTAATCAATAGATGAAATGAAAAAAGCCCAGACCTGCTCTACTATATACTTCATTTTACTTCTAGCTTCAGCCCTTCCAGCTTCTGATATCTCTCCCTTTCAACCTGTGACACTTCACTTGCCACTTCTTTAATACTCAAATCTCTACTTAGGCCCACGGTGAACGGAAGGTCTTAGAGGAAACATATTGGGTTTGGCCCATAATACACAAACATTCAGAAACAGGAAACAAGAATGGTAGCTGGAAGGTGCAAAACTGGCTGACCTATAATCCCAATAACAATATTTGCAGGGGGTTCTGTTAAGGGAGAAAAATACTCGAAAAGATCTGCCAGAAACTAAGTTAAATAAACCAGGCTCTTTTGACTTTTTAGGATTTTTTTCCAGTTTCATACACAAAGTAAAGGTTTTTCCAAAAAAGCATACGTACGTAACCAGAGTCTTGTTTCCCCTCTCCAGAAAGGAGCTAAGATAAAGTAGGCCAAAGGCTACAGGACAAAAAGCCATGAATATCAAACAGCTTATACTGTACCAGGAATCTAAGACTATAAAACAAAAATCATACCTCGCATGTTACTTGGGATGGAAATTTCCAGCTGCTTAAAGGAAAGTTAACCTTGGTTAGTCTTTTCTTCAAGACCTTACAGTACTTCAAATGTTTAGCTAAGACAAATTCGTAAGCCAAACATTAGGATTAACAGAAGAATAAAACATGTTGTGAAGCCTATCTAATCAGAAGTTGCCCTCCTTGTAGGGA